GAAAGGGGTAGGGGAGGGGGGAGATGAATTAAGGGTGCTGGAATATTGGCGTGTGATACGAACAAACTGATGTGAATGCTAAACATTCCTTTCATATCTGCTTCTTTGTTCTCCTAATTTCATTCTTGTTCTTAACCGTAGGCGCTGTAGATTAAAACACCAGCACCCCTTTTCTGCATCTCTCCAGGCTTTGCTTCTTTGGAGCTGCTTTTGTCTGAGCTACTTTCGGTGATTGCAATTTTCGAGGCTCTCTGTGTTTTCAGGTTTTATCCATTCTTATACCTTTTCATTCGTTTTTTGCATCTGCACAACACAAAAATCATAATCTAGAGAGTTTGGCTGTATATGTGTGTTCGTATATTTTGATACCCAGATTTATTAAAGTCATAAAGCTGAGAGTAGGAGGATTGGACTTAAGTGTCATGTACAAACAGACATTTTACGATGCAGCCTGTTTTTCATCCCTTAGTTGTAAACACAAATTTTGGCAACCTAATTGAGTATGGATGGGCCCCAGACACAAATCAACTTTCCTGTTTCATTACTCGCAAGTGCTGGCATATGAAAGATATCTTTGATTGTAGGACGATTTTGGGAACCAGAAAAATCAAAGTCAAGATTTTATGAGGATGTTTCCATTTCATGTGCAGCCCAAAAAATTTCAGTTTAGCTTTCTTGTAGGTCCACATAACGCTTCCGGACGCATCAAAGTTCACTGCTGACACCACAACAACTCAAAAGTCAGACTAGTTAGAAAACCATGATTTTGTGGGGGTGTCTGCTGCTAGTTTTTGAGTTCACCGTCCTAAAGCAGATTTTTTTGGCAAGAAACGATTTCTTAAATTAGTCAACTAGAAAGCGAAAACCAGAAAGTCAACTAGAAATTTTCATGCAGCTCTACAATCCCATACAATTCACGTATGGACACGCTAGATTTGATGTTTACAGTCTTGCAACTCTGCAAACAAAACTTTTAGGGAGCTGAGAACATCAAAGCTTAGCCTACGATATTGTGCCGCTAAAATTAATTTTCAGAAATCATATGTTGGGACACGTGAATGTTGCTGCAGACATTTTGCCGTTGATTGCGCAAAGAATGCGTGTTCGCGCCAATTCCCAAGCATATGCCACAGTTCCTTCTTCCTCACTTCCTTATTTTTTCTCAGCTGATAACAACAAGACACAAGTACAACGTCTGGGGCAGTGTTGAGACAATGGGATGCTGCTGTTTATGGCAGATAAAGACAAGTAAAAAGTGGTCTCGAACAGGAAGCTTAACACAGGTGTCAAGGTTATCGGCGACTTCGCGCCAACGTACCGAGCAATCTCACTGAATGATGATTTTGCAGAAGTGATCAAGATGGAAACGTATCATAACCGCAAACGGCTCGCTGTAGTTTTTTCCGGTTTTGTAGTTCTTGTGCTGCTAGTTATCGGCTGCAATTTATCTGATGCCTTGAAAAGTGAAGCGAGCAGTTCAGTGAGTTGAATTTCTGGAATAAATCTGAAGTTTTTTTTTTCAATTTTCGAAGAAAGTGGACGTCTGTTAATTGCTTTTTTTCGTAAGAGTTACAGGGTAAACTAAACTGTAGAGTGCGGATCAACGAGCATGCACTTCAACAAATACTCCATTTTAATTAAAATTTCAGATTTGGTCCGATGCAATGTGCTCAATGAAATGTCAAAAAAAAGAGTAGACTTTTAAAGTCTTACCGAATTTTTGCACTAGTCAAGAACTGCATTGTGGTAAATTCAAGCTGCTGTTGCATGAGTCTGTACTTATGCGTGTTTGTGCATTGTGTGCGTATTTATGTTGGTAATTACGTATGCACGTATGTATATGTGTGTGTTACGTCTGCAGAATAACTGAGTCCCGAACCATGAAAGCAAAGAATAAAATTCGAAAACATAGCCTCCTATCACTCGTTGGACCACAGATTTGAAATCAATTTTGCAGCGGGGCCTACCAGTGTTTAGTGGTGAAGCACTTTCATAAACTGCTCTGGGCACTCAGATTGTGACAGTCGCATATATGCAAAAGTTCACCGCGATAATTCAATAATTTCAATGCATGTAAGGCACCGAATTTTTGGATCCATGACTTGTTTCACCCTGGGGTTTTAATATTGCTTAATGTTTGGGTATTATGTTTGCAAGTCACGAAAACTAAATTTCAAGCCAATCTGCCCGCCTTACTAATCCTCGGTTCTGACTCTCTTCGACTTCATGTTGCAAAAGTGGCATGAATTTAGACCTTTCCTGTTCAGGGAACAACGTACTTCGAAAGCTTGTTTACGTCTTTTGTTACGAATTATCTCGCAATCTAGCTTCCCGAAATTTTGATTCCACGAATATCTCTGTTTGCGATTGTGGAATTGGTACCTGGCTTTAGATCTGAGTTCATAGCAATTCACTTCTGGGTTGCCAGCCTTTAATTATCGGTTTGATTACTGCTCCAAAATTTCTACTTGTTTTCCAAACAATCAGAACAGAGGTTAGTAGGTCAAATCAGCAATAGAGATGCAAATTGGTTTCATGCTTATGGCCCCATACTGAGTGAAGAAATATTTTCTCAACCCTAGCTTGCAAGCCGTCCTTACTCAGGGATTAAATTATCCAGACAAACACACACCAGCCACGGATTCGCAATAAAGCATCTATATTAGCAAGTGTTATCTAACGAAAATGCTCAAACAGCTGAGCACTCGAAGTTCTGACGATTTATTTGATCACCAACTCTGGGCTAAATAATCAAATAGCTGTTAGTGTTAATTGCACTCTAATCTCAGATCCAAACTGAAAATAATTTGATAATTTTTGAAAGAGACGAACGAAAAAAAACAAGATTTTTTTGAAATTAGTTCACTAAATGGTTCGGTACGGATAGTCTAAAATCATTTTCCTACTATCACCGCTTCTAGAGTTACACAATCAAACCAAAATAGCCGTTAATACCGCTGTTGCAGAATGGTGCATGCCACAGATTCTGACAATTAATATATGTGGGTTAAAAAGTTGCTTCGTTGGACGCATTAATTGCTTGGTGTGTTTGCTGTATTAGTTTCCTGCCTTCTCAGTAAACTTTATTCGCAAAAACACACATGATTCGCTTGGCCCTTTAGTGTGTGATCAGTTTTAGCATTTTGCTTTCATATTTACAGTTCTTGCATTCGTCCTCATAGTCGTGGAGTAGGTTTGCAGTGACTTGAGTTATATCCATAAGCTGAGTACATCCAAGTAATGTTCTAGCCCCTTAACCTTGAACAACTAGCCTCCACTGCTGCATGCCGTATTAAAAATTAACGTGAACATTTTTACTCGGGTTTTTGACCAGCATTCATCACTGACCGCTACCTAATGTGAAGGATTTTCAATAAAGCGGCAGTGTGTTCATGCTAGTGGCAAAACCCGTATCGCATGACATACTTCTAACTGAGATTTCTTTCTTTTTTATCTTACATAGGAAAGAAACATCAGCTTAGACAAGAATCAAACAAGACATCGTTATGATCACTGACAGGAACACACTGCTTTAAATTTTCCAGCCTTTTGTCTGGAATTTGATTTTCCTCTCCATTTCTTCATTTTTTTCAAATTTGATCAATATTCATCAGGACTGAAGTGGCATTTTTTTGCTTTTTAGCTATGACCGAAAACCGTTGCTGATAATGAGCTTTGACGGCTTCAGACGCTCGTATATCGAACGTGGAATCGTCAAAACACTGGAAAAGATGGCAAAATGTGGCGCCACTGCTGAGGTATCGGTTGTGCTCTTACAAGTTGGAGAAATGGCGCGACACCCCAAAGGGCTGGTACTCGATCGAACGTTTTTGCAATAATATTTGTTCCGAGTGAGTGTGTGTGGTTCTCACGTATGACTCCACAGATGTTTTTGACGGAAAAATCGCTGACTCGGGAAACAGAAAAGTTGAAAAGCTGAAATTTTAACGGAATGTTCCCTGCACATGTACCAAGTAGTCGCACAATTAGCTCCCCGAACTTTTGGACTAGTATGTCACAAACCCTAGCTACTGGATTTCCGAAAGAACTCACTACAGCATGAAACACCGCAAAAACGCATGGGCCGGCCTGGTGCGCGTCGCCAGTGATTTTGTTATGAGTTTTCTTTTGAATGATTTATTGGGAAAGTTCATACCTATATGCATTAAGTCTCTCCATCTACAGAACTGAGTCCCAGAAACTCCGGAAATTAGAGAGCTGAAATTCTCGGAACTGAATTCACGGCCATTTGTGAAGCTGTGAACCTGACATTAAATTAGAGTGCCGATGCTTGACTCGATGTATAAATTTGACGTGGCAATCAAAAAGTAAACTGCAAATTCCTGGATCATCAGGTATTCAACGCAAACAGCATGAAGCCTTAATGTGTGCTGAGTTTTGCTTACAAAATGTTCATTTTTTATAGTACATGTATCCAAGTTTTCCCTCAAGGACAATTCCGAATCATTATGCGATAGCAACAGGTCTGTACCCAGAAAGTAACGGCATAGTAGATAATGTCGTTTACGAGAGCTCGTTTTCGGATCAACTGCGTGACGTGCGCCGAGCCAGAGACGTGCGATATTTTAATGGTCAACCAGTCAGTTGATTTGAACATTAATCTTCTTTCCTAATTTTCTTATAAAACATGATTTTATCGGCTCCGTTTACTGGACTGAAGCACGCGATATGGGTTATGAAGCTGTGCTAGAGGACATTGTCTCGGATTGTCGGCATCCAGTGTTTATGCTCATCATTATCACCACACACTTGCGTTGAGATTTCAAGCACAGACCGGATATCATCATTTTCAGTTCTGTGCTTATCATTCTTTCTACTGGCATAAGCACTGCTCTCAGAAACTTCGGCCAAAAAGATTAATATGTAATGAGAACAACACATTAGAATCAATGCAAGATAGTTCAGAACAGAACTTCTCGTTTACAGATGCGAAAAAAGTTTAAAAGCGCCTCGGTGACTTTGAGAGCATCACATTGTTAGTCTAGCAATCCTGGCAGTATGTCGTTACGTAGGACACATCATTTGGTATCAGTGTTTGCTTGGGAGTGCGTAAGCACCTGAGTTTGAGGGCTGAGACTTGGAAATGAAATCCTTCTTTAGTAACGACCGCTGTCCTGGGAGTATCAAACTGGCATTTCTACGACTCAGCGGGCTGGAATCAACCCAATAGCTGGCTTGTAATTTTCTTCGTTGGTCATTTCTTTGTTTGTTTTATAGATATGGAATGTGCTTGAACAAAAAAATATTACAACAGCGTGCTTATTTTGGGCGGGATGCGATTTTCCTATCAATGGTAATTCTTGCACAATGTAAAAAATCTATAAAATACTATTAAGACCACTTCATACCCTTCATATTCTACAGCATTAGTTAGTCTTTGCGGTTTATCGTGAAAAAATCGTTAATTGGAATTCAACTCACACTACATTACTTTAGTCATTGGAACGCGTAAATTTTAGAACGCAATCGCCATTTTCACATTTTTTTTTTGATCAACTATATTTTACAACAACTAGTGATTTTTTTTTTCTACAGCAATGGGATCCGACATCCCGTGCAGTACACCCGGCAAGTTAATTCTAAATGGCACCCGCTCGTCCGCTGCTTAATGTTATTAAAGCCCTTCCTTCAGCTTTGACTATCTGACATTTTTGAATGTCCACTGTCCGCTGCTTAAGGCGCATGCCCCCCGGCCTATTGCTCTTTCTTATTCTAAGTGTTCCTTGCGATACACTCCGTAGCGCACCTGTAGTCGCTTCTGCATAATTTGAGGGCAAATAGAAGCGCCACATGCGCTTCATAAAGCAAAAGAGCGAGCAAGCGCGGCGTGAGCAAAAACTAAACACAGGAAGCGAACTAAAACGAGTGAAACGGAAACAGGATGTGCAGTTCATAGTTCCACTGTTGATAGTCGCTACTGCATCAAACCCGCCACCCGCAGGCCTGTATGTTTGTGAACATGAACCAAAAAAAACCCAGGCTGGAACGCACCAGGTTGCCGGTGCGATCATGCGTTCTTGCAACAAACTCGCGGGTCGCTAATCAGGAATAATCCTTGCGCTGCAGCCAAACACTTGGGCTCATACTGGCCATGCTTTGGATTTTTACGGCATGCAGCGGAATGGGCATCGGTTAGGAAGATGGTGTTGCGTTATAGGGCCGCATGGATCTGCAGGTACATGATTACCAGTTTTTTGCATGAAGCTCGGTCGTTTTTTCGGTAAACGCTAGCTTTTTGAAAAATTGAAATGCAAATTTTATAAAAAAACGCAAATTTCCAGTTCACTAAAAAGTGGAAGTGTTGCTCGAGTGGTCGTTTGTGAAAAATTTACATATTTGGATGAGGGCAGTCGTTCGCTGCAAAACTCACTCATTCCTGATTTTTCGGTAAAGTTGAGTATTTCTCATGCCTGCCTGAAGGGAATTCCAGCTTCAAGCAGAACTAAGACCACACTTGAAAGAAGAATATCCCAGCGAATTTTCAGCCTTGCAGCTTATCCGATAAGCGAAACATCCACTTCGCTAAAAATATCTTTGAAGTGCCACAAGTTGTGGCGCAAGTGCAAGTCGGTACTCATTTTAGGTATACTATTTCCGGTGTGGGAGACAAACATACTGACAAAATTTCAGCCACTGTTTTTCAGCAAGTTTTCCAGTTAGCATGGTACCGAGTCGAAAACTTCGACGTGGTCGTATGCTTCATACGCGTACACGGCAGCTGAGCTTAGAATCTTTAGCTCGCACATGCATAGAGAATATCCCTGCAAATTTTCAGCTTTTTATCATGAATGGTTCACGAAATCGATACCGAAATCTTTTCCAGCCAACGAAATTTGCATATTCTTTGGGAGCGCCCGTAGGGGGGTCTAGGCGCGTGTGGGGGAAGTTCTTGAAACGGAGGACGATACATGGGATGGGAACATATACTCAAAGTTTCAGCCTCCCAGCTTTCCTGGTTGCTGAGATGAAAGTGGGTGACAAAATGCACTCGC